AATAAAGCCTTTTTTATGTAGGTATTTTTGCACCGCCAGCAAAGTTAGCAATGAAAATAAATAAAACCTTGAACACGTCAACTTTTAATTAAAATAAAATACATAAATATTATGTTTTGGTATATACTTCCTGTATCTATTCTAAAACTTACATCGTTAAGTAATTTTTAAAAAAAATTTCAAAATTATTTGTGCCCTGAACAAATGTATTCCCTTAAATTATTAAAATGCCGCAGAAACTGAAGCACCCGCAGCAATTGACGCACTTACCCTATAAATGTTCTAATAGATTTGGACAATTAGAAAAAAAAATTTTTGCGCAAATTGGACTTCTTCTTTGGCTTGTGTAGAACAATTGGTACATACACTTATGCTTGACATATTTACGGATAATAAAAAAATCTATGATTAATTCAATCATATAAAATGTTGAAAATGATAAAGATTTTTTGTTTAAAAAACATTTGAAGTAATGTTAAAATGAAAAGAATAATTTTAAGTAATGTTACAATACTATAAAAAAAGAACAAAAAAAATAAGTTCTAATAGATTTGATCAGTTAGAAAACAATTTTTTGTCGCACATTGGACATGTTATTTGGTTACAGGAAAAATTAGCGCATAAGCAATAATTGTATTCATAGGGTACGAAGCAGTCGTTCAATGTTAAGTATTGTTAAAATGTTTTAAAAACGAAGAAACAAAAGTTCTAATAGATTCTAACAATTAGAATATAATTTTTGTCGCAAATTGGACATCTTCTTTGGTCACAAGAGCAATTAGCGCATACACACTGGTGTCCACAGGGAGCATAACTGTATTCAGGTGGGTTGCTCCCACATATTATGCAATGTACGTTATTGATTGGGTTGTACACCTTCATCACGAACAGGTACTCTTCTCTACAAACAGGACAAGTTCTGCTACTTAATCTCCGTGTCATTCCATTATTGTTGTATTGTTTACTGCAATCATCGCATAAATATTTGTGTCCGCACATAACGAAACAAAATGTAGGTTGTCCAAGCTGACAGATGCAGCATATTTGGTCGTTTTCTAAAATAAAAAAATAATACGTGTTATGTTATTTAAAAAATTTATGAAGAAGAAAATTTTTCGAAAACTTGAAAAATAAAAAAAGCAATAATAAAAAGAAATCATTTTAGGCAACTACATGCTTCACATTGCCCCTAAAAAGTATTTTATGGGGCCCTACTAAAAATAAAATCAGGAATGGTCAGACAAATGGTCAGGCCGCCTGACCACTATAATCTAGTTTTCTTACGATTCTGGATGGATCTCGTCAGAAATCTATTACAACTGATCAGGAGGAAGTTTAAAGTGGTCACAAGTTTGCTACTATCCCCTCCTCTTTATTGACCCCGCCCATAATTGGTGACTATTTGAGACCATTTGTATCTCATTTTTGACCATATTTTTAAGCCACTTCTGTTTTATTTATTTAAACAATATGCAAAAAGTTGCAACAAATTAATTTTAAAAAATATATTTTATTAATTAATATCAGTTTGTTTACATACGGAACAACTTGAAACTAATTCCCGGAATTAAATTAAAATTTGGACCCTGCGGGGATCGAACCCCGACGCATGGACTAACCTAGTGCCTAAACTACTAACTGCCCTAACGACTGCGACTACCGAACCGACTTACATATTTCTGGATTCAACTGTCTATATAAAGAGCAACTGTAAAATAGTAAAATTCAATTACCAATATTATCAATAAATCAGAATAAACTGTTAAATAATTTTTATTAATTAATTATATTTCAATTTAGTCATAATAGGTTATGTGAATTAATAAAAATGAACATTATTAATTGAATCAATAATAAATTAAGTCTTAACTTTACAATTTGGAATGTTTCATAAACTATAATACGAATACAGATTAATAATAATTATTATTATAGTATCTGCATTTAAAATGAATTTAGTATTTAATATTAATTTAATTTAACATTATAATTTATAATAATAATGAATTATTAATGCAATATTGAAATTTTTATAAATTTAAATTATTAATAATCATTATAGTAAGAAATTATTCTATTAATGATTAATAATAATTTAAATATAACTGTATTTCAATTATAATGCAAATACTTCTCATAGTAAGTACTGACTGGTATAGTGAATTACTAATATTATGAAACAAAATTTATTATTAATTAACTATATTAAATAATTACAAGTAAATATACACTCCTCAAGCAACAATATTGATTAAAAAATGGATAAGGAACAACCATACATTGGAAAAATCTAAAAATCAGCGCCGTTTTCTATATCAATGCAAAAGGAGGAATATATTTCCAAGTAACATCCTAAACCACACAAATATTAATTTAAATTTCCATAACCCTAAATCAAATGATAAAATCAACCATTTTTTAAATTATTTTAGATATAAATTACTTTCTCTACTGATCTCTGATATAAATTTTTACATAAAACAATTAAATCAAAACATCCAAAAATTAGAATATGAGATTACTAATATCACATCAAATATTTTTGTTAATAACTTAAAGCAATACAATTTTCCAAAATTTATTTTTGTTTTCATGTTTTATGTTTTTTGATTGTATATCATGTTTTGATCAAAAATCTCATTTTTATTATTATTATTTCGAAATTCTCATGCTGGTATGTTTTTTTCTACATTTTATTATTTTTGTTTTTCTCGACGAAATCTTCTCATCTGTCATATGTATTTTTTACAGTCTTGAAGAGTCGTAATATCACGACGAAATGCATAGACGAATTCGAATTTTTTAAATATATGAAAATTCTTTTGTGAACAAAAACACCGTTCTTATTTAATAGACCAAAGGCCACAAAAATATTATCTCAATTTTAACAATAAGGTCTACAACATTCACTATAATATATTAAATAATGTTAAAAGAATGGTCCGAATGTTTTGATTTATTTACCTACTTTTGCTGTATAATTAATTCAATAATTATACCAATTTGAAAAATGAGAACTTTTGTTAAGTTAAAAGAACAATTTTTATAATAGAATAATGTATTCTGAAATGTAAAAAATAAATTTGAAAGATTTTATATGTATACATTACGAAAACCTACCACGTCAGTCATATCCCATGAGTGGGAGTGAGACAGACTTATGCGATTCCCATACTTTCCTATGACTGACGGATAGCTTTTCTTACTGTATATAAATTTTCATGAAACTTTACCAAAATTAGAAAGATGTACCAAAATTTTTATAGGTTATGTGTTCACACATTTCAGAAATAGTCAAGCATTTCAGAAATGGTCAGGAATTTCAGAAATGGTCACAGCTTAGAAAATGTTTTTTTTTTAAAAACAATTGAATTCATGAGAAGAATTTTATTAAAATTTTTGAAAATAATTGACTTCTTAAAAAGAATTTTTCTACCTATTTATTTATAAAAATAATTTCATTCTTGACGAAAATTTTTAAAAACTTTTTTTAAAAAATATAATTTTTATGAAGTATTTTGTTATTTTTTAGAAGAACTGTATTTTTGTGATGAATTATGATATCAAAATAATTGAATTTTACAAAAGAATTTTATTAAAATACCTTAGAATAATTGATTTTATGTAAAGAATTTATGCGATTTTGTTGTTTATCAAGATAATTGAATTTTTTTGTAAAATTACTTAAAATAATTGATTTTCTGCGACGAATTAAATGTTATTTATGAAAATATTTGAATTATTGCAACGAATTTTATTGTTTTATTAAATAATTGTACCTATGTTTCTTAAAATTGAATTTCTTCCTCAAATTTTTATAACATTTTTAATAAAAATTGCATTTTTCAAGGAATTTATTTAAAATTGTATTAAAAATATTTGAAATTCTGCGATGAAAATAATTGAATTCGTAAATGACATTGTATTATTTATGAAAATAATTGAATCTTTACGTAGAAGATCGTTCCATAAAACAAGCAGCCCAAATGATGTGCGCAACAGCTTTTGTTCCTATCGATGACGTTCAAGTGGCCTTCGATATATTCATGGAAGACATACCTGAAGCGTTCATCGATATTGCTGAGTATTTTGAGGATATCTATATACGTGGTAAGCCAGCTCGTGGAAGGCGTCGGGCAACGCAGCCGAGGTTCCCCCCTCAACTGTGGAACATGTACCAGGCGGTTAAACAGAACATGTCACGAACAAATAATATGTCTGAAGGATGGCATAATCGGTTTTCTGTTGTAGTAGGAAGAAATCATCCAATTATATTTCATGGAACTTGTTCGAAGATGTTTTACTATATAGTACCGCGACTTGTCGCTCGGTGACGCCACTTTTTAGAGATGTTAAATTAAAAGAGGATAGAGGGTGTCTCTCTCCTACTTTCTTGGTTCTGGTTCTGCTTTCCCGCTTCATTCGTTTCTTGGCGTCGGTGACGTACACACATACATCAAGATGAACGACAAAGAAAGGAAGCAACAAATTCTCCAAGTCAGACTCAAGGAAATTGAGATGGAGACAAACAGAATATTTGCGCAGATGGAGAACCTCGACTCAAATAAGAAACTCTGTTATGCAGGTAAGTGCACAAAAGAAATAAGGAGGCCAAGCTCGCCTCTAACGAGCAAAAAGAATATGGCGGATTCCCAATCCAGAATCGGGAACATACAGCCAAGCACAGTTCGGATCTTCTTTCCTGAATTGAAGACAAGAACTATAAAAAATGACAAAACTGAACATTCAGCTTACATAAATTTCCTTTTTCCACCAGATATCACTGAATGGGAAGAACAAAATGGTTCGACAGAAGAACACAAGCAAGATGGTGAGACTGGTGGTGCTGGCGAGACGAGCGACGCTGGTGAGGATGCCGAGGCCAACGTCGAAATGGAGGAAGAGAAAATCGAAAACCCTCATGACGAAGCTTTCCATTATTTGGGGTCTAATCCTCAGGAAGAAAAAGAGGAAAGACAAATTCGTGATGACGTGGCAAACAGAGTGATAGCATGGATGAAGCGCAGTTTGAAAAAAAGGAAGACAAAGAGAAACTTCTCTCTCTCTCTCCCAAAGCAGCAAAGGTTAATTTTTCAGCACCGACTCTGAATGAGGAAATAAGCGCCGACCTTCATCCGAAAGTTCTGTCACGAGATGAATACTTCAAGGAGTATCAAAATTTCACTGGAGCAGCCCTGTCAGCCGCCACGATTCTACTCAGTGACATCTTGAACGATGGAGAGGTTCCTCTGGTAAGAGAGGACATCCTCCAAAATCTTTCGTGCATAACAAAACTACTCTCAGACTTGTATGCACAATTAACTATGGCGAGGAAAACATTTATAATAGGACGTTATGAAGATAGAATTCAAAAAGCCCTAAAAAAAGTCGAACCAACAGAACTACTTTTCGGCGATAACCTTAAAGGTTTAATTGACACCGCAAAAGCAATAACGAAGGTTTCGAAAGAACTCAAGTCTAAACCACAATTTTCTTCAAGATCCAGCGGAAGTGCTTTAAACTGGAGGAGCTCCACCATCAAGAAGGAAGTGGGAAGGGGGAGCTACCAGTCCAATCAACCTCGAGCATTCACTTCCAGACAACCGAACCAACCCTTCAAACAGAGACAACCCTCGAAAAAATTCTACTCACAAACCCAACCACAGAGGAACAAGAACTAAGTCGGGTAAGTGCTAAAGCAACAAGGTTAAAATATTTTTTACAAAACTGGGCAGAAATTACCCAAGACAATTTTGTGCTAAAAGCCATTCAAGGTTACAAATTACCACATGGTGAAATTTTTCACGACTTCTGAGACATGCTATTTCACTGAAAACTGATACTTACATAACATTCTGTTTTGTGAGAAACACAAAATAAAAAATATTTTTTTGAAAGTCAATTCTTGAAGACAAATATATATTAACACTATTTGTTTTTCATAAAATAATAGTAGATTCACATCTGAAATTAACACAAATGGAAACAGACGATCAGCTGGCATTTACCTTGGGTAGAAACGCGCAACGCACACTGCGCATGCTCTACAGAATTTTCAAGCGCAGTCAACTAATCTTTCACGTACTTTATAAAACTGAACAAATGACTTTTCGTTAAAATTTAAAAACACTGTTGCCCATACTAGTACTAGAATAACTCTAGGACTTTTCTATATTTTCTAATAAAAAGTATATGATACAGCCTTGTATTTTGTGTCCTATCGAAAAGTCAAGCACTTTCAAAGAAGGATTCACGTACTTTTTTTTCCGTGTTGACGCTCTGTAAATGAAGTAGATATTGTGAATTACAATATACTTTATTGAAGAGAGTTTGAATTATCTTTAAAATTAGAAAGACCTGTTTTTTTCAAAATTTTTAAAAAATAGGGATAATTAAATATAAATTATCAAAAATTAGGGTGAATTTTTAAAATATTAAAAAATAAAATTCACCATTCAAAAGTGAATGAAAATATCTTTCAGAAACATATTGGACAGACTTTTTTCCCTTATAAGTATGTACAGAAAAAAATTGAAAAATTAGTTTAAAAGTTGCATAACCAACTTACCTTGACGACCAACTATTAGCTCTAACGGTTCATACTCTGGATTAAAATGCGACAAGTTAATGGCAAAGTATTCCACTGCTGGTTATCGCTCGAGACATAAGACACTGCTGTTATAAATTCTGCATTTGTAATTTGGTAGTTATCCAACTTTTGCCATAATTTCCTCAATTTGGCTGCAATAGAGTTTCTGCTAATTAATTTTGGTGAAGTTACTACACCTGGGCTCCTATTGTTTGAAATTTTTCTGTTATCGGTAAATATTTTTTGAGATAGTATGCGTAACTTTTTGTTGAAAAACCAGATTTCTGGATTATTTCTAAATATTGAGTTCTATTTTCCAGCGTGTAATTGAAATACATCACTGATGCATTCATTTCGTCTGTAGACGGAAAATCGTTGAGGTGTAACATTTCTCATCCAAATTTCGTCAAAGTTTTGAACAAAACTTTCCCAATTTGGGTTTCTTAAATTTTCGGGAACTTCAGTTTTTATCAATTCAAAAGATTCTTCGATTTCTTGAGGTGGTAACAATGGCAATGCAAGAATTGCCAATAATGCTTTTCTTATTTCTCCGTTTTCTGCCAGAAGTGCATTTTCCAGATGGGACCTTACTATACTTTTATACACCTCCTGGAAAACATAGAATAAAATAATAAATTATTAAACGTTGAGGCAACGAAGTTAAAGAAATTAAATTTTAACCAGGGCTCGAACCAGTGAAAGTATTTAAAAATACGGACTTTACAGACCAAAAATGAAAAATTACGGACCAATTACTGACAAATATATATAAGAGAACATTTTACTTTAAACTATGAATTAGATTTTTTCATAACTAAAAAACATGAAGATATCGATAACTCCGAGTCTTCGACTCGGAGCGATCGGTTACTTCATGTTTTATAATAATTAAAGATAGAGTGATAAAATAGTTATTAATTCAATTATTATTTTCAAGAATTTTTAAATAAAATTCTTCTTAAAATCGATTATTTTTAATAATTTTCGAAAAAGTTCTTTGAAAATTTTCAAATCCATTTCTTTACAATATTCAATTTTACGAAATTTAAATTATTTGTAAATTCTTCAATTAAATATGTATTAGAAAATAAAAACTTCAAATAATATAAAAAAAAATTCGCAATTAAAATTTCTCAAAAAAATTAATTCTACAGAATTGTTACTTAGTTAAAAAAATATAAAAAATTCAAATTTTCAAAGATTTGAATCTGAAACCTTTTTAAAATTTAATTTTTTCTAAAACTTTACGCTCTAATACTTTTAATGTTCAATTATAATCTAAAATTTTAACTGAAATCCATTTTAAAATCAATTTTTATGAGATAATTCTACGAGAATTTCATAATTTAAATAAAAAAAACAATTAAATTTATGGAATAATTACATATGTTTCTTAAAATTGAATTCTTTTAAAGAATTGTATCAATCAATTTTAAAATAATTTGAATTCTTTTGCAAAATTTTATTAAAATAGATATTAAAAATAATTAAATTAGGGAAAATTTTTAAAAATAATTGAAATTTTGCCAAGAAATTTATTAAATTTTTTTAAAATAATTCAATTTTGGAGAAGAATTTTATTATTTATAAAGATAATTGATAATTTACGCAAAGAATTGCATTAAAAATTTTGAATGCAATAATTTTATTCTTTAATGAAATTTAATTAAAAATTTATTAAAAATAATATTTAAATTCTAAAAAATAAATTGTATCAGAGGTTATTAAAATAATTAAATTTTTTTGATAAATTTTAATAAAATTTTTAAGAATAATTACATTTTTCGAGGAATTCGATTAAAATTGTATTAAAAATAATTGAAATTCTGCAATTATAGCTTTATTATTTATCAAAATAATTGAATTCCTAATAAGAATTTTATTATTTGCAAAAAAAAATTAAATACCTGTAAAAATTTTATTATTTATGAAAATAATTGAATATTCCCGTGTGGAAAAATCCACGTTCGAGCCCCACAGCTCCGAGGCCCCCGTTGGGGGCCCTCGTGGAAGATCCATGAGGAGAAATCCACGAGGGCACCAGCAGGGGCCCCGTTCTTTGCCCTTACGGTTGCCCTGCTCAAAAATTTATCTAAGTTTCAAAAAAAAAAAATTTTTATTAAAAAACTTTAGTTCAGATTGCATTAAATTACATTTCAAAGCACCTGAAACATTAAGTGACATTTTTCCAGAAATCCTATCACAAAGTTATGGAAATTTACGAGGGCACCAGCAGGGCCCCTGCTCTTAGCCATTATGAATGCCCTGCTCAACAATTTTTCTAAGTCCAAACAACAAATATTTGTTACAACAAAAAATTATTGTTTACAATCATTTTAAACAATGAAAAACACGTTTTTAACAAATATTTAATGTTACTTTTTAAAAAATATAAAATTTACGTGAGGGCAAATCCTTGAGGGCCCACGCGAGGGGCCCTCATGGATTGCCCACATCATTAACTAGAAAAAATTTCTAAGTCCAAACAAAAAATATTTTTTTACATAACAAAAATTAATATTTATAATGATTTTAAACAATTAAAAATACGTTTTTAACACAAATGTTTTGACATTTTTTTTTTTGAAATGATAAAAATATTAATTTATGAATATTTATGGTCTACAGGGTGTCCAGCGATTCTTTAAAAAAAAATTCAAGGACTTTTCAAGGTTTTTAAGGCCCAAAATAATTTTTTTCAAGGTCCATTTTTAGGGTACTAATTTTCAAAATATTTGTTATTTATAATCGAATTTAAATTAGTAAAAATGATTACTAATTTGATTTAGTGACTGACTTTTTGCTTTTGAATTAGAAAATTTTACTAGTTAATAGTAATTTCCACTAATTTATCAGTAAAAATAAACTAATTCAAAAGCAAAAAATCAGTAACTAATGCAAATTAGTAAATATTTTTACTAATTAAAATTTAGAGAGTCTTTATAAAGAATTTTATAATTTCTACCTACAACAGTTACTCATAAATAAAATTAAATAAATATATATAAATAAAAAATAAATAAATACAATTTATTGATAAAATATTAGAAATATAAAGAACATCGATTTAAGAAACATCAATCAAAATTATTTTTAAATAATTGAATTCTTTTGGAAATTTCTATTAAAAATAATAGATATACAAATTATTGAATTAACAAAAAATTTTTAAAATAATTGAAATTTTGCAATGAAGTTTATTAAAATGTTTGAAAATAATTGAATTTTATTACTTTTGAAAATAATTGAATTACTGCGAAGAATTTAATGCCAAATTTTAAAACACATTTTATTAAATGAATATTTTGAAATTTTTTGACAATAATTGAAAATTACTGCAAAGAATTTAATGCCAAATTTTGAAACAATTGATTTTTGCGAAAAAAAATTATGCAAATTCTATTTTAAATAATTGAATTAATGTAACAAATTTTTTTTTAAATAATTGAAAGTTTGTGTAGAGTTTTTTTAAAACTTTTGATTAATAATTAAATTCTTTCGTGAAATTTTATTAAAATAATAGAATATTGAAAACCATCGAAGCAAACAAAAATTTTTTAAATAATTTGAAATTTTGCCACGATTTTTATTAAAATTTTTAAAAATATTTGATTTCTTGTGATGAATACTATTATTTATATTAAAATAATTGAATTTTGCAATGAATTTTATTAAAATTCCACAAAATAATTTAACTTTGTCGAAGAATATTATTATTTATTTATAAAGATAATTGGAATTTTGACCACAATGTTCTTTTTGATTTTTTGAAAATAATTGAATTTCTGAGAAGAAATTAATTAATTTTTAAAATAATAGAATTCTTGTGATGAATATTGTTATTTATGAAAATAATTGTATTTTGTAATGAATTTTATTAAAGTTCCTGAATATAATTGAATTTCAGCGAAGAATTTTTATATTTATGAAGATAATTGAAATATTGACGAGAATTCAACGTAAAACATCAAGGAAATAAATCTCACTTTTAAGAATTTTAATTTTTCAAGGTTTTGTCATAAAATTCAAGTACTTTTCAAGGTTTTCAAGGAGCAAAAAAAATTCAAGTACTTTTCAAGGTTTTTAAGGTTTTCAAGGTAGCTGGACACCCTGGGTCTATTATTATATTATTAATATTGTTATTATTATTATTAAACTATTTAATTATTTGTCATGGTGTATTAGTGCCAATAAATAATTCTTATTTAAGGAAATTAAAATAAAAATAAAAAATCAATTAAAAAATA